AACTCTTCCAGAGGCAGAATGGAAATGAAGTTCTGAAACTTCCAAAGCGCTTCCTGAAACCCTCTTTTTCAGGATCTTTGGCTTGTGCAATAACTTCGCATATAGTGTGATGTTGAGCGCAGCGCAGGATATCCTGAACAAACACAAAGGCGTGGATCCAATCGAGGACAACGTCACCGATTCGAGATGTGTGGTGAGTTATTTACAACAGCTGTTCGGAGCGTATCCGGGTATAAGTACCCCATGGAGAATCAGGCTTTCGGACCTCTGGGGTCATTCGATTAGCGACACGTTTCCCAGAAATGATAAAAGTTGGGACTGTGCTAGGGCCAACCCACGAACAACATTTCATAGTCTAAACACCCACTGAAGCAATTTTACGGCCCAGGAGATCTGTGATGAGCCGGCGGGTGAAAGCGACGTGGCGTGCGCTGCATATGCTCTACGGACGGGAGTGAGGATGAATCATAACGGTATGAGGGTTTGCTCGCGTCGCCGCAACTCGGATGTCCTGACCCACACATTCAGTGGCGTTATGATCCAAAGGCGGTCGAAGACGTGAAGTATCCCCAAAGATCCCCAGCAAAGGCAAGGCTATGTATAGCGCTAAAATATCTAACACAATATTTCAGGAAGAAATCACCTACAGGATCTGCTCACCAACGTCAACTGGCGTCGTTTTGATATGTAATATTCTTCCTGGTCTATGTGTAAAAATGCTCTGCCCACTGGTCATGCATCGGATCCCTTATTGGTACGTTCGAGTTGAGCAGATTGTGACGGTAGCCGTCGCGCTGCGGTCATTTACCCGAATCGTCATGTCACTCCTAATACTTTCAGGGTACGGCACACCGCAGTGTGCGTGGCACAGGCGTCTTCACTTTTCATCACCGCATTTGCGGACTCGGTGCCTGTGGCGTTGGGCGGAGTTTGTCTCGGGTCGTTTTCGAGCGGCCTTGGTGAAACCACCTATCTTGGATTGGCCGGGCATTACTCAAAGTGAGTTTTGGGTAGCTCGCACGTCACCACGAAGGGCAGGATGTCGGGAGAACAGGAATGTGGGGTTCAGGAGATCCAAGTTGCGACGATGCGTCCAAACTAGTTCAGAGTTTGGCGTGTGAGGCATTTCCACAATTCTGGTGCCACTGACGCTCACGCAACATCGTTATTTCCGCGACGCCGCAACTCGGATCTCCTGGCCTGCCCCCAAGGACAGGAAATTCAATGTGAAGCCAAGCAAAGAGATTAGGGAAGTATTTCCAGGCATACAATTGCTACATGGTCGTCTGGCACTGGTATGGCTGGAGTGGTGGCGGCATTTTCCTATGCCGGCTTAACTGACCAACGGTTGCTTGCGCTCACGCCTGCTCAAGCCATGCTGGTTATGCTTGTCGTGCCGGCCATATTCATTTTCACGTAAGTGCAGTTTCAGGCATGACTCAGGGTGTGGCAACTGCCAGACTAGGCGGGGAGACTAACCGTTGACTGGTGCTAACCACGGTATCCTCTTGGAGTGAGTTTGAACCCGAGTCCTCTGACCAATCTGTGCAATGTTCTGCCCACTAAGAAGTCCCGCCCATTCTGTTTGCCACGCCCTTCTTCTTGCCATTTGTGTGAGTAACGAGTCCCCGCCACTACAATCCGTAGCCCTCCGTTTGCAGATTCTACACCCTGCTTGAGCATACGGAAACAATGAAGAAGATCAGTTTTACTAAGAACGGCAAATCCTCGAAGTTGGTCCAGTCATACCTTTTTTCATCTTATACACCATTCTGATTACTTATCTAGTGAGAACAAATCTAGGAAAAATGGGGAGAAGCCGATCTCATTGGGAGATTCGTTACCGCCTGCGGAATGTGATGAGGACAAAATCCTTGCTAAGCGGATCATACTTAGCAGCATACGCAAATTTCACGTACCGTGGTAATGAACTGAGCCAGTCACTCACTGTTTGCGTATGACGATTATGCCAAACCGGGCTAAGTTGGCAAGCGGAGAACACTGAGTAGTCTGCCAGCACGGCCAAACGGCGAAAGGCAGTCTGCAGAGGCAACGGCGTCTTTTCTGTGTTCGTCTGCCACCTCACATCGAGATAGATTTTTTTGTGAAATTGGATGGCATCGTGAGCGCTACATCTCGTCCTCTGCACAATCCTTTCCCTCCTCCATTCACCTCGAAGCCACGGTTTGTCAATTGATGTGTAACATCAGCAGTTTCCAAGGTTATGAAGCCTGACCGCGACCGCACGCACAAGTGATCTATTCATTGCACAAACATGCCTTTACATCTGATGGATGAATGGCCTGTTGCTTTTTTTACAAGACTCATAATATTCCTTATTATAGAGTCTTCTGCGGTATATGATACCATTGTTCCTCACCTACTTCGCCGAATATCTCATCAACCAGGGATTGGTGAGTTTGGGAATCACTTGATCGTTTAACTACAATTTGGATTAAGTTGTCCCAAAACTTCGTGATTTTCCCAAATGTCGTAACAAATCTTCCCGCAGCTATTTCGAGATCGTTGAATGAGCATCCCACAGTTGCTTTACCGTCCCTCGCAGTCGCTGTTCTCATATCCAAAACGGTAAATGAAATTCATCATTTTCGTCACACTTCGCTATATGAATCTCCACCAAGTCCCAACGTGGTTGGAGCCACACGCGGCATTTGCTCTGAGTTAGGTCCTGATGCTACCTTCCATAGTACGGCGCTGGAATGGCCCGATCACTTTTGCTTGAGTGACTGCTATTAGGTCATCCCATTCAAAAGTGCCGAACGATCTTATTCATATAAAACGAAGAGAAAAACAGATAGAAAAGTAATATTTTGGCTTTGAGTTAAGTAGATCCCTCCTTCACCAATGACCCGCTCCCAGGGCCCCGAAAGCGTTTGGACCTCTGGTACCTTCGGTTTTTCAACAAGTGCGAGTAAATTGCTGTTGCTGCCAATTTCGGCGAATGACAAAACATTGTAGCGTTTGCCGTCGGAGAGTACCCTCGACTGACCAGAACAGTTGCAAT